TTCCTTCCTTCCTTCCTTCCTTCCTTCCTTCCTTCCTTCCTTCCTTCCCTCCCCCCCCCCTCTGTTTGTTTTGTGTTTTCAGGGTCTCACTGACCCAGGCTGGCCTCAATTTATAATCATCCTGCCAAAACTTACAACATGCCGAAACTTATAACAAAAGATCACATCACCAAATTTAAAAGTGTATACTCCCCTTCCATATCCTGGCTAAAAACCCTGTTTATGCTCCATCTAGGTACTGGCCAAACAAATAAAGAAAAGGAATTAAATTTGCCTCGGCTCTGTATCCAAAAGTTCTTCCCAAAGAAGAAATGCTTTGTATTTGAACGGCCAGGAAATAGTAGGCAGCTTGCCCAGGTTGAATCGCTGCAGGATAAAGACCTCGACCCAGACTTCGTGGAACAAGTTGCAGAGTTCTGCTCCTATGTGCTCAGTTGTTCAAAGATTAAAATGCTTTCAGGAGGCATCAGGGTCAATGGACCACGTGAGTCCCTTCCCAGTTCTTCTGCTTACTGTCTAGGCCACAGTGATAGCTGTGAAGAAATGCAAATCTGTCTCCACTGCAGTGCTAAGCTGTAGATGGTACCGGCATTGATAATAGTCTTGTCTATCAGACAAGATTTCTTGATGGATAAAAAGAAAATGGGGCAAAAGAAAAAAAAATCTTTTAAATTACTGTAGAGAACTGAACCCACATTTAACAGACAGTGAATAAACAATTATGGCTCTTAACATTGAAATATAAGTTCAATAAAATCCACACAGAGCTAGTCATTGTCACATTAGCATGTACAGAAAGTTTATTTATACTAATCAAGAAATTTATTCTAGTCATCTGGATGGAGAATTTCTGACTATAAGAACAGGCTTTACTCCTCAATTGAAATGAAATGCTTCCTATGTACAGGGATAATAACACAGTCAAACATGAAAAAGGTATAGAACATGTTTTAATGTTGCTTACATTAAAACAGAAGCAAACATTGCATAGACAAAGGCACATGTCATCTCCATCCAGTATGCTTAGACTTTGGGGTCCCACACACCTCATGAGAGGATCTTTGTACAGAGAAATTCTAATCCTATCAGTGTTAGATAGAGGCTGAGATTTTTTCTGTCATTCTTCCAAATTATGCTAAGAACACTGAAAGTTTAGGACATCAATGATTGACATATCCAGAATTACATGTAATATTGTTGTCTTCATCCATCTGTTCCAAATATTGTCAACTGTTTCCTGGTTGTAGGACTAGAGAGTTTGGTGATAACCTATGTTAATGCCATCAGCAGTGGGTGTCAGCCCTGCCTGGAGAATGCTGTCTTAACTCTGTCCCAGGCGGAGAATGCAGCAGCAGTGCAAAAGGCCATTGCCCACTATGATCAGGAGATGAGCCAGAAGATGCAGCTGCCCACAGAGACCCTCGAGGAACTATTTAATATGCACTGGGCCAGTGAGAAAGAAGCCATCACTATTTTCAAGCAAAATTCCTTCAAAGACATTAATGAAGTGTTCCTGAAACAATTAGAGGTAATTGTCCTCTCCAGGTTACCTGGTAGTAGATTTTGGAAGGCAACATGCTATGGGAAAATGAAATCGGTCCTGGAGGAAGGCAACTGTTACTAGATTTAAAGTAGAAACAGCTACATTTTAATAACCATGCTAAATAGGAAAAAGGGATTATCATAGACTCAAAGCTTTAAAATATTTGTCCTTTCAATATAAGCTAGTAATGTCCCCCCTTTGTAACGTACAGAGAAATAATTAGTGTGTCTGATCAAGCTTCATGCTCAGTGTCAGTTGACTAATTCAATATTCAAACAAAAAACCAAAACCAAAAAACAAAAACAAAAACAAAAAAACCTAAGCGCAAACTATCAGAGGCAAATTAACATTGAATCATGTTTATTTCATGTGGCATCTCTGGTCCAGTCTGAAAAAAGCAGTTTATCTCTAAAGGCATAAATCTCTGCTCTGAACTCTACATTCAAGGAGCAAAAATGATATCAGTAAAAATCTGGCAAACTCATGTTTCTTTCCCTTCTTAATTATTTTCTTTTCATTTTTACATCAAAGACCAATTTAGCAACAAAACGAGAGGAATTCCTTAAGAAGAATGAACAGGCATCCTCAGATCGCTGCTTAGCACTTCTTCAAGATATTTTCAGGCCACTAGAAGAAGATGTGAAACAGGGAGTTTATTCTAAGTCAGGGGGATATCATCTTTTTATCCAGAAGATACAGGAGTTGAAGAAAAAGTATTATGAAGAACCTAGAAAGGGAGTTCAGGTAAGAAAGATTACATGTGTGTTCTGGGAAGTTGCTGACCTCTTTGAGACTGCAGAGTGCCCCCAAGCATCATGGTGAGAGGGTCTGCATTCCAGGCATATGTTTCTTCAACATCACATACGTGAAGGCTGTCACACTGGATATGTTCTGCTTACTCATCAGAGACAGTGCATTCACTCAATGCTTGAGTTCACAATGGACAATCACTTTAACCACCAGTGTGACTGTCACCCTGTGTTTCAGCTGGACTCTTTGTGTTGCGAAGGATTCAAAAACAGAACTTATAATTCATCAATGTGGACTTAAAACTATGTCTAAAAGACAACTGGGCCTATCATCCATGTTTCTTTGTCCGTCACTCTTCCCCAGCCCCATACTGTTGTAGTCTGAAAATCTGAGAATAGCCTACCACAAAGGACAACCTCCACAAATTGTTGGTTTGTTTGGGTCCAAGCTTTTAAAATAGATAAAAATTTATTTTAAAAGCTGACAAATCAAGAAGGAGTCAGGTTTCAGTATGTAGATTCCTTGGGGAGCAGCAATCAGTTTTAAGGGAGAAAATCAGAAAGAGACAGTTCCGAGTATCATAACGTAATATGGAGAGAAGTAGTAGGGGACTCTCTCTCTCTCTCTCTCTCTCTCTCTCTCTCTCTTCCTTCCTTCTTCCCTTCCTTCCTTCCTTTCTTTTTTATTATTAAAAATTTCCACCTCCTCCCCTCCTCCCACTTCCCTCCCCTTCCCCCACTCCCACTCCCCCTCCTTCTCCTGGCCAAAGAGCAGTCAGGGTTCCGTACCCTATGGGAAGTCCAAGGTCCTCCCCAGGGGACTTTCTATGGTGGTACACTTTCAGCCACGTATGTAGTTCCATGGTTTGTGTTTGGCCCATGTGGGGCCAAACCATCAGAAGGGGTGGAATGTTCATGGTATAACTTATTCTAGACTTCTGCTCAGGGAGTTTGGGGTTTTGGTTCAGCCTCAAAAATTATGTGTAACAGCTCAGGGAAGAATGGCCTGGGGAAAAAAAAAAGAATTCATGCTGCTAACTAGGATTTAACATTCCCCCCTCTTCAAGTGGGTCATCAAATCATTGATGTAAGAAATCCATGTCCTGTAAATGGCCATAATATACCCCAAGGACTAGGAGCTTAACTGCATTTATCTTCTTTTGCATAAAGCAGAAGAGAGTTTAGCAGAGAGGTTGCACATAGCATGATTACTGGAATTATAACTATTCTTGTTATCAGGTTAGTGATGCATGGTGACCAGCTGAAAATGGATTTGAACCAGCCCCATTTAATTGATTGGGTTTGTTCCCTTTCCCTTAATCTTTGTCTGAATAATCTCAGAGTGTCTCTGATCACTCCCCTGTGGTTAGCATACAAGCAGCATTGTTCCCTCTTAACATTGGAATTGACATATATGGGTTGTTGGCATTTATTAATCCTGTTATGGAGACCAGGAAAGTCAGATAGAAATGAATCTTAGTTTTAGTGGGTCCTGTGGGTGGAATCATACAGTATACCTTTTGTTTTTGTCTTTGTTGACTTGTCCTGTAACTGGCTTTAAGTTGAAGTGACATACACAGGATTTAAGTTTATACAGTTTCACTGCTGATGGGGTGGTCAGGATAGCAGTGGGGGTACAATCCAGAGAGGACAAAAGGCTCATTCTGGTGATGTCTGTCCCAGATGAAATCTCCTGGCTTGTAGCTCTGAGGATTTTTTGTGGTGGGGGAAGCTCATATATGTGCCATAGCAGGAGACATTACCCGTCTTGGGTAGGCTGCAAGGCCTGTACCACCTTAAGCAAAGTAAGATTAGATATATCAGCTAGGGCCTCAGATTTGATCTTAGAACGGGGTGGGGATCCCAAATATAATCTCATTGGGGGTCAACTAAGGACAACAACCAAAGAACAGCAAAAGGGAAGATTGCCGTGTAGTCCTTGCCAGTCTCAAGGTTTCATCGAGGTCTCCATTAAGGTTAAATTCACTCTTTCTACCTGCTTTGAGTTCTGGGGATGATATGTATAATGGAGTTTCCAATTTATCCCCAAAGTCTTAGACAATTCCTCTATAATCTGAGACACTAAAGGTGGTCCATTGGCTGAGATTTGTGCAGTGTATAAGTGAAACCTTTAGTTGATCTCCTATAGCAGCTTTTTTTTTTGCCACTGTGGAAGCTGCCTCTCCTTTTTCTGTAAAAGCTGCTGCCCAACCCAAGATGGCTCCTACCTGTACTAGCAGATATCTAAGTCCATAGCGCCTGGGCCTTACCTCAATGAAGTCTATTAGCCAAGACTCTAGCACCATACTTCTTTCCCATTTAATGGGCTCTTGGTGCTGCTGTGGTTCTCAGTGTGGGTAGCCTGGCAGGCCAGACATCTGGAAACAATGTTTTAAAGCATAACATTAGGGAAAGGATGAGATAACTTTTAGATAACAATATGAATAATTTTGTTTTACCAAGATGGGTGCTCTCACGAAGCTGTTTGAGTAAAGCCCTTTCCAGGGTCAAGGGTAGGACTATGCATCTGTTGCACCATCCCTGTTTAGTTAACCTGTTGGGCCATCCCTGGAAAAAGTCATCACCAAAAGTCATCATTCCTGATTAAATAGGTAGTCAGTTCTGGTAGTGTTGGAGCCAACGGTAGGAGCATTGCTGAGGCCGGAGTTAGTTGGGCCACTTCCCTGGTGGCTTGCTCTCTCAGATTCCAGAGGGCATCTAGGAGATCAAGAATTTCTTGCCTGTTTTGGATTGATTTACCATTTTCACTTTTTTCTGTATATGGCCCCCTGTCTAGAGGGACAGATATTCTGACTGTTGAAAGTCAGGCTATACCTGCAAGAGTTACAGTCCTGCAGGAAAAGGTAACCTGACTTTTCAAAAAATCAGGGTATACTTGAAAGTGTTACAGCTCTGGAGAGAAAGCTATCCTGAATTGTTGGGAAGTCAAGCTATACCTAAAGCTGTGAAGGGAAGGTATCCTGGATACCAACTACAGCTCTGACAGAAAGGCATGCTGTCTTGACAGGAAGTCAGGCTATACCTACATTTGTAAATGGAAGGTATCCGGGAATCCTACAACTGTCAGGGGACAGGTATCCTGACTTGTTGGGAAGTCAGACTATACCTGAAGCTGGGTTCTGGCAGCAGGCGCTGGTCTCCCCACTGGATGTGACAATCCTTTTCCTCTCTGAGAGAGGGCATCACAGCTGATCTCTGCTCCACTTCCCTAAGGGAGTTTCCCAGCAGAGAGGTCCATTGCTTCTCTGCTTCACTCTGCAAAGAGCATATGCCAGCAGAGATTCCACTCCACTCCAGGAAAAGAAGGTCTTCACATCAAAACTCTTTCAAGAGGTATATTTGGAAAGGAAGAATCCAAGGGAGTGGCTCCTCTGTCAGCGTGGAGGTCAGCTGCCAACTGAACAGGCACAGGGCCTATATAGAATTTCTTAGAGATGAAGATTTCCAGGGAGATTTTCAGATAGAGAATTGGTCAGATTTTGATCCCCTGATCCCCTTGAGCTTAGACAAGCTCAGATTGACTAATTTTTTTCCTCAGGTATTGGTTGATTTTCTGCTTATGGATTGGTTGATTTTCCCACTCAGCAGTTGGTTGGTTTTATGTCTGGTTGGTCAGGGGCAGATTTGACTCTAGTTTCAGGACCAAAGTGTGTTTCTTTCACTGCTCCATTTTGGACTTTTGACTCTACTTTCAGGGCTATAGTGGGTTTCCTTTACTGGTTCTGTTTCCAGGACCAAAGTCTATTTCTTTCCAGGCTCAGTGTAATTCTTTGGTTCTTGTATCAGGGCCAAAGTGTATTTTTAAAAAATCTGGTTCTGTATTAATTACCAGGGTGTGTTTCTTTCAGTGGCTCTGGATTTAGGGCCAGGGTGTATTTCTTTGGCTGAACCTTTTACCCTACAGATCCATGCATGTGGAACATTACAAAAACATAGTGGCTGTCAGTGAAACCATTAATCTTTTCTCCTTTTCTCAGATTTAGGAGCATAGTCAATGCAATCAGTTCTGTCTTTTGGGTGGAAGTGCCCACAGGACTTCAGCCCATAGTGTCTTTTTCAAAGTAATTGCAGCAGTCCAGGCCAACCTCTGACCTGGGACATCAGTCAGGTTGGTCCTGATGTTCTAGAAGCTGGATACTATGTCTATACAGTAATGAAGGGACTCTCCCACACTGTCAGACAGCATGGAGAATAGATTGAGTATGACCAGTGGGGGAAAGGTTATTTTAGGTTGTTTTAACAGTAAAGCCTGGTAGTAGATGAGACAAGCATTTGTTATCTATCTGTCAGGAGCTGGGGTGAAGACTCCTCAAGAGGTTCTCCACTGCATGTGGGGCCATGATGTAAGCTCTGTCCCAGATTTAACTTATCAGAGTCCTTAACGAGCAGGGTGAATGCGCCATAATCTTCAAGCATGTTGGCCATTGAGTTGCAACTTCACTCTGCTAATAATCCCTCTCTCTCTCTCTCTCTCTCTCTCTCTCTCTCTCTCTCTCTCTTTCTCTCTCTCATTCTCTCTCTCTCTCTCATTCTCTCTCTCTCTCTCTCAGTCTGCAATGGCCTAAGTTTTTGAGTGAGTCTCACTTTGGTAACTCCTGCTTTTTTTTTTATCTTTTTGAGTCAGGTTTTCTTTGTGTGTCTGGCATCAAACTCACAGAAATCTGCCTGCTTTTGCCTCCTCGATGCTGGAATTAAAGCTGTTTGTCACCCCACCTGGCTAAGTCCTGCTTTTTGTCCACAAACAGAAAGAAAGACCTGGATGTCTGGCAGTGCTAGAGCTGGTACTGGTACCAAAGTCAATTTAATGCCACTGAAAACGTTAGCCTCAATCTCAGTCCAATGTGATATGCCCTCCTGGATATTGATAGCCTCATAGAGGGGCTTGGCCATTTCAGCAAACGTGTGGACCCTACACTTCCCAGAAATTCTTGCAACTGCTTTTTGATATGAGGTGTCAGGATCTCCAATGTGACTTGTTTGTGAGAGGCAGACAGAGCTCTTTAACTTCCTGGAGATTGAATTTCATGTTGATGGCTGTCCTGATGCAAAGCTGAGACTTTCTGACTGACAATTGGTATCCCCAATTCTGGAGGGTCTGTAACAGCCCTTCAGGGGTCTCTCAGCAGGAAGTTTCATCTTCAGCCACTATCAGCAAGTCATCCACATACTGCAGGAGTGTGACCTGGAGAAATCTGAGATGGTACTCACACAGGTCCACATGGAGTGGGCAGAGCTCATCAAAGAGGGTTGGTGAGTTCTTGAATGGTTGTGGCAGTTGAATCCAGGACAATTGGCAATGGGACTCAATGTCCAGGTCAGTCTATTTGAAGGCAAACAGGAGCTGATCCTGCCTAGCCACACAGACGCTAAAAAAGATGTCCTTCAGGTCTCAGACTGTATAGATCTTCTTTTCTGGGTCTAATAGGATAAGCAAGAGGTCCTGAAATCATTGGTTCCAGGTTTTATGACTCTCAGGAGTGGGGTGCTCCAGGGAGCTTGGCAATGGATCAGAATACCCACCTCCTTATGACACTTGATGTGAGTCTTGATGCTGTTTAACCCCCCAAAAGTGCAATACTTGACTTCAGTTGCACTGTGACTGGGATATGTGCTGTGCTAATTCAGGCAGGTTATTCTCTGCCTACAGTAGTGGGAACTTTAAGTGAAGTTCCTTTGATAAGGAATTCACTTGGCATTTCAAGACTCCCTCCGCTTTGGAATCAAGTAGGTATTATTCTGAAAGGGGAGAGTAACAAAGATTCCAGAGTTTGGGATCTTCTGCTGAAGCAAGTCTATGTTTGTGGTACCAGTTTTGAAGATAATCTGAGCTCTCAATTTATGCAGTAAGTCCAGCCCAGGAAGTGATAAGGACATTTAGGGGTCACTATGAAGGAATGAGTTACTGTGCCTCTCCCTAGATTGAGCATTCTTACAGTTGTTTTTGGGTAAATCTTGGTACCATGGCTCTTTGGATCAAAGTCCGTTGGGTGATTAGTGGACCCCTGACTCCCTTAGGAGGGATATCAGAAGCTCTCTGTCTATTATAAAGTCTACAAACTTTGCCTCCACTTTGAGAGTTACTCTGGGTCCAGGGAGGGAGACCAAGCCCTGATCTCCTCAATCGTCCTCAAGGTTGAGAACTTTGGTGGAGGTTTTTTTCTCTTCCCAATTGGGGCACTTGTTTTGCCAATGTCCAAACTCCTTCAAATAGCATACTGATTTTTGTGGCAGGGACCTGTCCCCAATGGAACTCCAATCTTGTGAGGAGTTGCCACCTTAATCTGCCCCCCCCCCCCCGGGGCGGTCAGGGGTTTTAGCTTGGGGGCTAATTTATTGTGGCCAACATTACTTCAGCATTATTCCAAGGCTTCCAGTCCTCCTGGTCTTCCAGTATACATTGTTGTATACTCTGGTGACTATTTTCACTTTGAGAGATTTTCTCCCTCAAATGCCTCCAATTTCTGAAGCTTTTTTTTTCTAGTGTCAGATGTTGTAGGGAGACCACTTGTTTGTCCCGACTGCCTGGCTAACTTAGACCCGAAATAACCACACAGAAACTGTATTAATTAAATTACTGCTTGGCCCATTAGCTCTAACTTCTTATTGGCTAACGCTTACATCTTAATTTAACCCATCTCCATCAATCTGTGTATCGCCATGTGGCTGTGGCTTACTGGCAAGATTGTAACCAGCGTCCGTCTCAGGCAGAGGATCCATGGCTTCTCTCTGACTCTGCTTTCTTCCTCTCAGAATTCAGTTCTATCTTCCCCACCTACCTAAGTTCTGCCCTGTCAACAGGCCAGGGCAGTTTCTTTATTTATTAACCAATGAAAGCTGTACATAGGCAAAAGGACCTCCCACACCGGTCAGGTGCAGACTAAATCACAAAAGGCAGGGTTTGAGCAGGTCAAAAATTTATTTAAAAATCTGATATATCAGAGAGCTGTCAGGTTTCAGCATCCATGGGCAGCAGTCAGTTTTAATGGGGAAAATCAGAAAGAGACAGTTCCTGAGTCCTACCCAATCATAATGTAATATTGGAAGAAACAGTTTGGGACCTTCCATGTTAGCATGATTTTAGTCTATCAAGGAGTCCCGTGGTTTGTGTTTGTGAGTGGTGCAGGAACAAATCAATCAGAAAGGGATGTAATATATGTGGTATAGCCTTATTTTAGACATCTGTGCAAGAAGGTTTGGGGTTGCAGCTCAGCCTCAGGAAATAGTGGATAACAGTTTAGAACAGACTGGCCAAGGATAAAATGGACTTCATGCTGCTAACTAGGAACTAACTGCCTTTTCTCATCACCTCAGATCTTTTTGCTCTTTATGAAAGCTTCAGAAAACTCACCCCATTTATCTCCGCAGCATCATTAGTTGCAAAGTTAGAGCCCATAGTCCAGAAGGACCATCCTTTTTGTTCAACACAGGCCTCCCATAAAAGAATTTCTTAGTGGGGTCCAACCTGAACCATGTTCCTGTTTGTGTGCCTGGGAATCTTAGCACCAAGAGGTATGACTAGAGGAAAGGGCTATAGGGAAATAGACACAAAAGTTTCCAGTCATTTCTGCTGTTAATATCATTGTCTCTGAACTTTGAAGGCTGAAGAAGTTCTGCGGAAATTTTTGCAGTCCAAGGAGGAACTGAGTGATACAATTCTACAGACAGACCAGACTCTGACAGAGAAGGAAAAGGAGATTGAAGGTGAGGCACAAGTTAAGGGGCTACATGTCCTCAAACGCTGTGGATATTTAGATTACTTGTAAACTCGGGACCTTAAAGCTGAGCTAAAAGAACAAAGGCTGTAGTATTATGATGTCAGCAGTAACACTGAAGCATGTTATGAAGAATGCAACACATGGTGCATTTATATCTTCCTTCTTGATTTCCTTCCCAGTGGAGCATGTGAAAGCTGAAGCTGCACAGGCTACAACAAAAATGCAGGAGGAAATGCAACAGAAGAATGAGCGCTTGCTGCAACAAAAAGAGAAGAGTCATGAGGAGCTCGTGAAAAAGTTGACTGAGACAGTAGAGAAAGAACAGATCCAGATGAGAGAAATGCAACAGAGAAATGAACAGCTGCTGCAACAGAAAGAGAAGAGTTATGAGGAACGCACGAAACAGTTGACTGAGAAGGTGGAGAAGAGAGAGGCTCAGGTGAGAGAAATGCAACAGAAGAATGAACAGTTGCTGCAAGAGAAAGAGAAGAGCCATGAGAAACACATGAAACAGATGATTGAGAAGATGGAGAAGGAACAGGCTCAGATGAGAGAAATGCAACAGAAAGAGAAGAGTCATGAGGAGCTGGTGAAAAAGTTGACTCTGAAGGTACAGAAGGGAGAGGCCCAGATGAGAGAAATGCAACAGAAGAATGAACAGATGATGCAACAGAAAGAGAAGCATTACGAGGAACACACAAAACAGCTGACTGAGAAGATGGAGAAGGGAGAGGCTCAGATGAGAGAAATGCAACAGAAGAATGAGCAGTTGCTGCAACAGAAAGAGTACAGTAACAAACAGGCTATGAAGATGATAAATGACAAAGATCAGGTATTTAAATTACACCACCTTCAATTTTTTTCACAATAATTTAAAGTGTATGTGTGATTATATGTGCACATATGCATGTAATATATGTAAAAGGCCAAAGAAGAAGTCCCATCTCCTGAACCTAGAGTTATAGGTGCTTGTGAGCCACCTGACTTGGATGCTTGGACCTGAATTCCAGTCTGTAACACACTCGTTACTGCTGAGTATCCAGACTCCTGTTTTCTCTATTTTTGGTTATTAAAATTATTGAAGCCTAAAGGCTGACCAAGCCTGCCCCCCTGTGCTGTTAATTCCTAAATATCTGGTTGATAGTCTGTTGCCCATGTCTGGTAATGAAGTGATCAATGAGTAATGGCATCACACTCAGTCACTTTAGAACATATATGTTGTATTATGCCAGCTATGCTTGTTGTGTTATACCTTCATTTCTTTCTTAAGACTTTACGAACCAAGAACTATAATCCTATTATGTAGAAGAAAGAAACACAGGTTCACTTAAGATTAAAAATATATACAATCTTAGTACTTTTGGTAGGAGAGCCAGGAGGATCAAAAGGTCAAAATTATCCTCAGCTATACAGGGAATTCAAAACCCACCAGGGCAATAGCCCCTGCCTCAAAAAAAACCCCACTATTTATGAGATACAGACAACAGATTAGGCTGTTTTTCCCATAGTGGTATTCACAAAGGTAATTTTTTTCTGTCTCACCTGGTATGAGTTTATTCCTAAGACAGAGTTTATGAGGAAAGGAACTCCTCAATGCCCACAATTATGTGACAGTCTGTCTGTCCTTCCTTTACCCTATACTTTGTTCTCAATTTCTGCTTAGTTGTGAGTTAGACATAGAATTCATTTTCTTCAGAATGGGACACTGATTTTCTTACCAATAATTTGTCACCATTTTACCAATTTGTGGAAGTTTATACTGAATTTCTCCTTCCCACCACTTCTCTGTTTTTCTTTCTCTGAGTGTACACATAACTGCGTGTGCATGTTAGTGCTTGTTCATCTGCGCACATGGATGTGAAGGTCAGAGATCTACCTCTAATTTCCTCCATCACCCTCCACTGTATTTCTTGGGATAGTCTCTTACGGAACCTCAAGCTCACTGATGGGGCTAGTCTTGCTGGTCACTGGCTGCTAAGTTTCAAGGATTTGCCTATATCTGGCTTCCATGCCTGATATTACAGAACAGTGCTGTATATAGCTCTTGCATGAATACCTGGGATTCTAGCAGGCATATTCCTGACCTAGCCACACCCCCAACCCAGACTCAGTTTCTTACACTAAGATTCAGAACCTAAGTTAGATATTCAGAATTCGTTCCTGTGCTGCATGTTTATACAAGGTTTGAGTAGGGAGGTGTATTAAAGTCTATAATGATAAAATTTGAAGAGAAACAAATGATTAAGATTACAGAGGTTATAGACAACAGATGAAGGAAAAAACTCAATACTGGTAACTAAAGTTCATCAGTAAAACTGTTTCTTAGCTAAAGGAACCCCCAAGAAATGTGACCACAGCTGCCCAAGAAAAGGCATAATTTGAGGAGGAGGCTAAAAATTTCCAAAAAGGAAAAGCAAATTTCTGAACATTAAAATTTACTCATGAATAAAAACATGTTTAAATTATAATAAAAATTAGGCCTTGAGAAAATTATAAGAAATTAATAAGAAAAATTATGAAAATTGCATAGAATATAAGGATCAACTCAGTGTAATGATTCATTGTCTCTCCTTGTTACTTTTCAGAAATATGCAGAGCTTTGGAAGCAATATCAAGAAGTGCAAGATAAAAGGCAAAACACACATGCATGTGTCATAAGCTGAAGGCTTAAAGAATGTGTCATTCTGCCGATTAAATCAGAGCTCAATTGGGAATGAGAGTCAATTCAGGTGAAAACATAAACTAAAAATATGCAAAGATATTCAGTGTGATAATTGAAATAGTTTATCTTCAAATATTATTGTGCACCAAGGATGCCAGTGATGTCTTTACCACAAGAGGGGTACCAACAGCTTTACTCAGGAGAATGTTCCTTACCCAGATGATATCAAGGATACGAATTGACACAACACATTTTTAAATATTGGCGCATAATTGGGAACAATATTGTCTACAGATGTTATGAGTCTGAAGGGCAGGAACAGTCAGACTCATTTCCTACAATGTAAAGTTCTTCATTTAAATGTAAAGTCTCTATCAAAACTGTTCAACCTTACAGCAAGGGAATGATTTGTGAACACTGATGATGATTAACCCTCTGAACACACTCCATTATAAATTAAGACAGCGGCATGGAGATCACAATCTGCATATATAATATCCACAGGAAGAGGAGAGAAGACATTATCAGGACAAGGAGTTGTATTACAGGTTCATGGGCCAAAGAAAGGAATGTTTAAGATCATGCAGGCTGAAATTGTAATGGGACGTTTTCAAACTTCAATAGTTGGCACTGGCTGCATAATACCATGAGAACAACTAAGGATTATGTAGAGTGGTAACTTTACAGATGGACTTTTATGATGATGGCTAAACTATAGATATTAAAATTGTTTTAATGATTTATCTGTAACCGTAATTTGACACTATTCCTTTCTTATTATTAGCAGCTATATTGAAATCCCGTTGATTTTCCCCCAAGCAGTATAAGAATATTTTTTTTGTATTTTTGACAAGCTCTTAATTCTAAGGACTATATATAAACTATATCCCAACTACCAGAAGTGCAAAGTAAGTGGTTAACAACTTTAAAATTAAAAGGGATTGAGAACTTTTGAGGGGGTTGGTTCAATGGGCAAAATGCTTGCTGTGCCAACACGAGGATGTAAATTCAGATCCCAGCACCCGCAAAGCAAACTAGACATTGTAGTACACACCTGTAAGCCTAGCACTGACGTTGAAGAAGGGTAGATAGGAGGATCTTTGGGGTCTACTAGCCAGCTAGCCTAGTCAACAAATAGGCTCTGGGTTCAGTGAGAGACCCTGTTTCCAAAGTAATATGGAGAACAATTGAGAACACAATCAGGTTGATTATTGGAAGTATATGTGACCAGAGATAATTATATTATGCAAATTAAATCAGTCTCAGAAAGACAAATGTATGTTTTCTTTGATATACACAACCTGCCTGTTTATAGAGACATAAATTTACGTACGTATAATGATACGGAAGATAAAGTGAAACTATCCAGAGAAACAATGGGGACCAGTGGGAGGAGGAGGATGAGGAAAAGGGAAGGGGGGTACTGAGGCATGCTAAACAAGATATAATTATGAAAACATTTTCCTATGATACAACGACATGTGTAATGAACATATGCAATGAATATCATGAAAACCATTTGTGATCAACAAAGAAACTTTTTAAAATATGCATTCTGACAACTCAATCTAAGTAACTTAACAATTCAAATAAATCAACTATTTTCTCAAAAAAAGTATAAAGCACTAAACTTGCTATATTTGTTACTCCTTGGTTGCTGCAACAGAATACCTAGCAAAAGGAATTGAAGGAAGAAAGCGTTTATTTTGTCTTACATTCTGACATTACTTTCCATCACAGCAGGGATATCATGGCATCAGTAGTTTGAGGAAGCTGGTAATTTTGTATCCACAGAGAGGAGACAGAGAGATGAACCCTGGTGGTCCAATCAATTTCTCCTTTTTATTCAGCCAGGACCTCCAGCTCATGAAATTGTCTGTCCATAGTTAGGGTGGTCCTCACACCGCCATTAACCCAGTCTAGAAACTCCCTCACAGACATGCCTGGAAGTGTGTCTCCTGGGTGAGTCCAGATCTTGTCAAGGCAATAATCAATATGATCATCTGTCACACTCCTTTAGGATAAACAAGATCACCTGAATTATATCTGCTCGAGACATTTGATTTATAGTTAAAAAATATCTAAAAGCTACTTTTTCCGCATCCAGAAGGCTTTCTTTTACTGCGCATGTAAAGAGGAAATAATAGGAATTCTGCAGAGATTCTTTCAGAAAATACAAGAGGAAGCATTTCCCAATTCATTCTAAGAGAAAATACATTATCTTCTTGCCAAAGTCAGCTATAAAACAGTACACATCAGAAAAATAACAGATTAACATGCTTCATGAACTTAGATGCAAATCTCCACGAGAAAATATTAGCCAACAAAATCCAGGAATGTAATGAAATAATTTACTTACATCACGCAGGGTTTCTCCTAAAGAAAAATAGCTGGAGCAAAAACATATAATTTACTACACTGAAAGCTAAAGAAGAAATGCTGGCTTCCTCAAACAGCTACATAGTCATTCTGAGACGGCACCTTCGAGCGATGAAACATTCCCCAGAGCAGTGCAAGTCTCCTGTCTTATTTCATTTAACTGAGGATTTGGAGTTTTGATATGGTTGTTGGTTGTTGCTGTATTTTTGTTTTGATATAGGGTCTTTTTACACTGCCCAGACTAAAAATAAACTTGCACCAGTTCTTCATTATCTACTTCCCAGGTATTGGGACTGTAGGTATGCACCATCACAACATGCCAGATGTCAACTTCTTTAAGGCAATAAAGGGTAGCTACAAAAAACCTTCACCAGCATCATTCTTATGTAACAGTAAATGCTTGCCTCTCTGACCTAGGAAATATTCTAGGGCTTTCATTCTTACCACTCACATTCAACCTGACACTGGATCCTAGAGGCACGTGGATCAGAAAGGATGAAATAATACAATCTTTGTTTGCAGACAATATGAATGTGAAAATCCCAGGGAATCCACAAATCTATTCTGAAAACCAATCAGTGAGTTCCCAAATTTATGAATCCATATTGCCTGAGTTTGCCAAATCTGCGAATCCAGATTCAATGAGGAAGTCTGTTTCAAAAAATAAGGTGGTCAACAATCAAGAAATAGATGCCCAATGTTGACCTCTGATCTCCTTTTACAAATATACACATGCTTACAGGAAATATGTAGATCACACTTTTTATACACACACACACACACACACACACACACACACACACACACACCCTCACTATCTCAGGCAACAAATAAAATGTGAACTTCATTTATTTCAGGTTTTCTTGGTTGTATCAGTCTTATCACCGATCAAATGCCTAATGAAACAATGTAAGGAAGAAGGATTTAGTTTGCTCAGTACAGGGGATATCATTCCACTATGGCGGGAAGACAGGACTATGTGGTGTAGTGACATTTCAATTGCATTTTAATGAATAAATTTGACTGAAAATCTGAGAGGAAAGCAGTCCCACTGGTCAGCCTTACAGACCAGGTAATGGTAACACACACCTTTAATACCAGTAGCCACATTAGTTTGCATAGAAACCTGGCAATACATGACTTTAATCCCAGTGATACACACTTTTAAACCCAGTCCTAGAGAGAATTATAAAATGAGAGGAAACAACACTCAGTCACAGTCTAATTCTGAGATTTCTGGAGCCAGAAATGCCATTTTGGACTGAGGTTGAGGTAAGAGTAAGTGACTGGCTGTTTTGCTTTTCTGACCATCAGGTTGAACCCAATATCAGTTTTCTGAGATTTTATTGATCATGCATCATTTGGCAGCCAATATGAGGCTTTAATTCTGGGAAGGGAAGAAGAAAGGGAGGAGGAAAGGGGAGAGAATGACTTCTCGAGAAAGGCACAGCAGAGAAAGGGAAACATCTTACCCGGACCAAATGGTCCCAAATGGTTCCACAGAACCTGGACAGTGTTCAGGCAACCAGATACTCTAGGACATGGCCAGCACCACAGTTTTTTTCAGGTCCCACTAAGATCCCAATGCCCACATGTCAGCAGTTAGCAGTCTTAAGTACCTGGTGCCCTCATTTTCCATTCCACTTGCCATCCTTAACTCACTTTTTATTATAGACAAAAGGGAAGAATGAAACATGATTATTAAAAGCTCAGAGAAATTGGGGTACAACCTGAAGATCTGAAAAGTAAAACAGCCAGTCACTGGCTCTTACCTATACCTCAATCTGAAATGGTGATCCTGCCTCCAGGAATCCCAGAGTGAGACTGTCTGAGAGCTGTTTCCTCCCAGTTTATGATTCTCTCTAGTTGTGAGATTAAAGGCATGTACTGCCCTGTTTCTACAGCAACTAGTGTGGCTACTGGGATTAAAGGTGTGTGTTACTACTGCCTGGCTGTAAGCCTAAGCATTGGGTCTGTTTGACTCTCCCTATCATTAGGCAAGCTTTATTTACTAAAGTACAATTGAAATGCCACTACAATGTAGCTATATGTATAGTGGTAGGAGTTTGCGGCTTGATCATATCATGGCTGACCAGGAAGCAGAGAGTAGAGCGCCAATGTTATAACATTCAAAGGCCTGCTTTCTGCTAGCAAAGTTCTACCTCCTAATGCTTCCATATGTCCCAACACAGTGCCACTAACTGGGGACCAAGTTCTCAAATACATGGGCCTGTGATGAACATTTGCATTCAAACCATATTATTCTGCCCGGCCCCCAAATGCAGTTGGATCAACTTCAAAAGTCCACGTAGTCTTACAGGTCTAACAGCATATGAAAGTCTAGCAGCTCATTTGAGACTCAAGGCAACCTGTAATATACAGTGGCACAGAATAAGCATCCTATTTCCAGTGTTCAGGAGGACAGGAAGGACAGAATACATCATAGTAAGACTGAACCCAGAAGGGCAAACATCTAACCTTGTTTTTTCATATGCAGCATATAGGGCATATGGTGGCTCTTTCTAGAGAACATCAGCTTGAAGACCCTGGCTCTAGGATCCTGCTATTTACAGGATACAAGGGCTTTATCTAGCTAGGTCCACTCATTGACTCCAACTTTCCTCAGCGAACATTCCACAATCCTGGCATCTCAAACTTCTTGGGGTCTCCATTGTTACCTCAGCTTTACCCCCATCACTTCACACACAGCACTTCACGGGAGAGACTGACCCTGCTACACGTTTTCTGTGGAACCTTAGTGAAAGTTTGGAGGTATTGTGACTTGCGTTAGGCATATCTGAAAACTTATTTCTGTTACATCTCTATGAGATCAGCATTAGCTTTGGCTTCAGATAATTCTCCTGACATGATTGAGCTGATTTTTCAAAAGATATTTATTTCAATTTTACGGCTATGAGTATTTTGTCTAACTGTCATGTGCATGGTAGTCACAGATGTTATAAGGGACATAAACTCCCTGAAACTGAAGTTATAGACAGGTTTGAGCTGTTGTGTAGACTCTGAGAACCAAACTTTGGTCGTCTGCGAGAACAGTAGGCACATTTAATCAATGTCATGTTTTTCTTTGATTATGCTAATTTTGTAATCACGTCCACGAAGCCCTTGTTCCTACACATCTAATCTCTTTTCCTCTCTGCTTCTCAGGCTTCTCTTTGGGCTCCACAGTGCAATCTCACACCAAAGGGATCTGGATGTGGTGTGTGCCTCATCCCCAGAAGGCAGGCACCACCTTAGTTCTGCTTGACACAGAGGGCCTGGGTGATGTTATAAAAGTAAGAACTGAGGGCTCAGTGTGCAATTCATCCCCTAATTTCTGAATATTCTACACTGTTCTCTATGCTGCCTTAAAAACCATATGTATGGTATGTATGTATGTATTTTGTATGAGCATATGCCTGTGTGTATGTTGCATACTACCCAGTATATGTTCTACATGGCATATGTGTAGATTAGAGTAAACAATGTGGGGTCAGTTCTCTTTTCCACCTTGTGGCTTCTAGGGATTGAACCCAGTCTCTAAGGTTGGGCAGTAAGCCTTTTTACCCACCAAGCCTTCTCACTGGAACTGTGATTTTTAAATTAAGAGTTTAAGCTTCATAATAGCATACTTTTCACATTTATTATATAACATGTGCCATGTTTAACCAAAAAAAAAAATAAGGGAACTTGTCTCAAGACTGGATCATAGACCGGCAGGATGGTAGTCTGCAGTATGGAAACACTAACAGACTAAGCAGCATCAGTGAGAATCATCACAAGTAAAAATGCAAACCAAAAGAACATTCACACTGCAGGTGCTGTGGACGGCATCTGTAGGTTGATTGCTGATTCATTTGTTTAGTTTTGTACCCTGCATAGGTCACAAAGATGTTTTGTTTCCTAGGTTAAAATCCCCTCTAACTGAGCAAGTTTTACCCCTGCTGATCTGGGGACACAAGAACAAAACACAATCCTTGCCCACGTGTGTTCTTACTTCCAGGGTGATAACCAGAATGACTGCTGGATCTTTGCCCTGGCTGTACTTCTGAGCAGCACCTTTGTGTACAACAGCATGGGAGCAATCAACCAACAGGCCCTGGACCAGCTGCAATATCCTTTCTGAGGGTCAGAACAGCACCAGAACGAGTGGGGTGATCTAGCCTCCTAAACCAGCTCCATGACTCTGACTCTTGGTTAAGGAACTATAAAACAAACAAACAAACAACAACAACAACAAACCCTCACATATATGTAGCTACAGCGTCCACATTGATGTTAGGGACAAGGCGAATGACAGTTTGGGGCTAGATTCCAGGAAGATGCGGAACTAATACAGGGTGGTCACCTGGAGCTGCGGTTGGTGCTCTGGCGGTTTCTGGGCTTTCCTTAATTATCTGTTCAGCTATGTGACAGAGCTGACAGAATCAGAACAAGATCCTCGCCTAACCAGGATGAGGTTGATGTCTCAGATGAGTTTGTGAGCTTCTTTCCAGACTTTGTGTGGGCTGTGAGGGACGTCTCTCTTGAGCTGAAAGTAGATGGGAATGCCATCTCTGCTGATGAATACCTAGAGAATTGCCTGAGATTTATATATGGTAATAAACTTACAACTTCTATATGAGAATGCTAACTAAACCCCTAATAATTCAGATGTTTCTATCTATAATTTTCTTACACCTGAAGCTTTTATTTCTTCTAGCTAGCTACTCCTGAAGATTAGCACTTAATGCATGATTTAATAGATTGACTGAAATATTTTCTTTCTTGTACTAAGAACAAATTTGTCTTTCATCATTTCCTTTATAGTGATTAATTTGACCTATCTCCTTCTGACTTGTTTTATATTGAAGCAGAGAATATGGTACATATGAAGATATATTTGAGAATGGTGGAGGAAGTATTACCAATATCCTAGTCCAACAGTTGGAATAGTGTGGCCCCCACACAGCTGGTGTGCTGCCAGGTGTCTTTAGAAACAAAATGATGCTGTACTTGAGGCTTACATATTGTCAATGCACACATTATAGCTACACTAAGTGAACTGAATACTTAGAATGAAGCCCCTTTTCCTAAGAGGTTTAAAATAGCATTCAGCCTTTCCTAGACTGAAAATCATTAAAGCAAATATCACCCCTACTTTTCTGTTCTTTTTGATTTGTATTTTCAGGGTCTCAATTTCTGACTCAGATTTGCCGTAACTTAAAATCCTCCTGCCTTATCTTCTAGCATGCTAGCTAGGATTATAAAACCTCACATGATCAAATTTAAATATGTATGCTCACTTTGCATGTACTGGCTGAAAATTCTGTTTTTGTTCTATCTAGGTACTGGCCAAAGAGATAAAGAAAAAGAATTAAACATGCCTAGGCTCTGTATCCATAAGTTCTTCCCAAAGAGGAAATGCTTTGTCTTTGAGAGGCCAGCACAGGGGAAGAAGCTTGGCCAGCTGGAATCACTACAGGATCATGACATGGACTCAAACTTTGTGGAACAAGTGGCAGAGTTCTGCTCCTATGTATTCAGCTCTTCCAAGGTTAAAATGCTTTCAGGAGGCATCAAGGTCACTGGACCACGTGAGTCCCTTCCCAATGCTTTTGCTCACTGTTTAGGCCATATCATCGTGAGATATCCATGACCAACTTCAGTCTTGAAGAAATGAAGACCCACAACCATTGTAGTGTGAAGCTATAGATGGTTCCAGCATTTAAAATATTTATAATAGATTTTGTCTATCACATTTTTTATTAGATAAAGAGAAAAGAGACAAAAACAGCACCTTTTAAATTATTCTAGAAAATGGTACCCATTGAGAAAGAAGTCATCAAGATCTTCATGGAGAATTCCTTCAAAGACATTAATCAAGTGTTCCTAATGCAAGTAATGGTAATATTTCTCTCAAGTTCACCTGGAAGTAGATTTTGAAAGGCAACTTGCTGTGAGGAAAAGAAAGCAGTGTTTGAGGCAGGCATCTGCTATTAAATTTTAAAGTAGTAAGAGCTACTTTTTAGTAATCATGCCAAATATGACAAAAATGATTATCATAGACTCAAAACTTAAAATATCTGTCCTTTCAATATAAACTAATAACATCTCCCCATAATCAGTGTGTCGGATCAAGCTGCGGGCCCAGTGCCAGTAGACTGATTCAACGCTCAATCCAGTGGCAAAGAATTTTTTTTTTTTAATTTCATGGGGCATCTCTGGTCCAGTCTAGAAAAAAGCAGTTTACCTCTAAAAGTGTAATCTCTGCTTTTAAGTTCACTGCCAAGGGGCAAGGGAGACATCAGTAAAGGCTGGCATCAGAGGAAAGATGTAGTTATAGTCAGTGCTTATAAGTTTTCCTTCAGTTGTTTGGGGTTTTGTGTTTGTTTTCATCAGGCTTCCTACCCTTCTTAATGTTTTCCTTTTCATTTTTACATCAAAGACCAGATTAGAAACAAATATAGAAGAATTCTTTAAGAAGAATATATAAGCATCCTCAGACCGCTGCTCAGCTCTGCTTCAGGATATTTTCAGTCCTCTAGAAGAAGACTTGAAGCACGGGATTTATTTTAAACCAGGGGGATGCCTTATTTTTATGCGGAAGATACAGGAGTTGAAGAAAAAGTACTATGAGGAACCCAGGAAGGGCATTCAGGTAAAGAAGGTTGCGTGTGTTCTAGGAAGCCGACCTTCTTCACAGTACAGTGTGACACTAAGCATCACTGTGAGGGGATCTTACTGTCTGTATTCCAGGCATTTGTTCCTTCAACATCACATACGTGAAGGTTCTCACACTGGATGTGTCCTACTTACTCATCAGAGACAGTGCATTCACTCAACACTTGAGTTCACACTGGACAATCACATTAACCACCAGTGTGACTGTCACCCTGTCTTTAAGCTGGACTCTTCGTGTTGAAAGGACCCAAGGTAGTCCCTTAGACAAAAATTGTAATTCATCAGTGTGGGCTTCAAGATTACTTTAAAGGACAACCGGATCTGATAACAATAATCCATGTTTCTTTGTCCATCACTCTTCCCCAGCCCCACACTGTTATGGTCTGAGAAACAGAATAATCCACCATAAAGACAGGGTTCAAGTAGATCAGAAATTTATTTTAAAATCTGATAAGTCAGGGAGGCATCAGGTTGCAGGATCCAGACCTCATTGCAGGGAGTAGCAGTCAGTTTTAAAGGGGAAAACCTGAGTCCCACCCAATCATAATGTAATACAGGGAAACATGGTTGGGGACTTTGCATGGTGGTACAATTTCATCCTGTCAAGGGGTCTTGTGATTTGTGGCTTTGCCCCAGTGTTGGGGCCAACCAATCCGAAGAGGTTGGAATGTTTGTGGTATATCCTTTATTCTAGGATATACCATATAAACTCCTGTGCAAGGAGGTTTGGGGGCTTCAGTTCAGCCGCAGGATTATGGGTAACATCTTAGGGCATAATGTCTTGGTACAAAATGGAGTTTGTGCTGTTAACTAGGATCTAACATTCCCCCCTCTTGTAGTGGATCATCAAATCGTTGATGTGAGAGATCCAGGTCCTGTTAGGGCCCATGTTGGACCCCAAATGTTAGGGTCTGAGAATCCAAACATAATCCACCACAAAGGCAGGGTTTTAGAAGGCCAAAAAATTATTTAAAAATCTGGTAGATCAGGAAGGCAGCAGGTTTTAGGATCCACACAATGTCCCCAAGGTAGGGGCAACAGCCAGTTTTAAAGGGGAAAACCAGAAAGAGACAGCTCCCGAGTTCCATCCAATCATAATGTGATATGGGAAGAAACAGTTGAGGACTTTCCATGGTGGCATGCTTTCAGCCTTTCAGGGAGTCCTGTGGTCTGTGGTTGCGGCAAATGCTGGAGCCAACCAATCAGAAGGAGTGGAACACTTGTGGTATAGCATTATCCTAGACACCTGTGCAAGGGGATTTGGGATTGCAGCTCAACCTCAGGAAATTGTAGAAAACAGCTTATGGCTGAATGGCTTGGGACAAAATTGAGTCCCTGCTGCTAATAAAGCTCTAGCTATTACTCTTTTTTAATCACTCCCTCAGATATTTTTGTTCTACATGAAAGCTCCAGTAAACTCACCACATTTATCTCTACAGCACCATTAACTTCAAAGTTAGAGCCCACAGTCTTGAAGGACTATCTTTTTGTCCAACACAGTCCTCTAATAAAAGAATTCCTTAGTGGCATTGAACCTGAGCTATCTGCTTGTTTCTGTGTCTGGGGAATCTTAGCATCAAGAGTCATCACTATAGTAAATGGGGATAGGAAGATAGGGACAAAAGCTTTCAGTTATTCCTGCTGTTAACTTTATGTTTTCTGAACTTCAAGGCTGAATATGTTCTACAGAAATTTTTGCAATCAAAGGAAGAAGTGAGTGATGCAATTTTACAGACAGACCAGACTCTGACAGAAAAGGAAAATGAGACTGAAGGTGAGGCACAACTTAAGGGACTATATGCCCTCAAAAGCTGTGGAATGTTTAGATTATTTTTAAAACCAGGACCTTCAAGCAAACTTGAAGGACAAAGCTGTGTCTCGATGGCTAGTATCAGACATGGTAGTACTATGACCTCAGGAGTAACAATGGAGCAGGTGGCTAGTGTCAGACATAGTAGTACTATGACCTCAACAGTAACAATGGAGCAGGTGAGGAAGAGAGCATCACATGCTGCATTTACATCTTCCTTCTTGATTGCCTTCCCAGTGGAGCGTGTGAGAGCTGAAGCCACGCAGGCTGCAGCAAAAATGCAGGAGGAAATGCAACAGAAGAATGAGCAGTTGCTGCAACAGAAAAAGAGTCACAAGAAACATATAAAAGAGTTGACTGAGAAGATGGAGGAGGTCCAGGCACAGTTGAGGCAGGAGCAGAAAGCATATAGGAAGATATCTCGAGTATTTAAATTGCATCAGCTTCAATGTTCTCTTCATTTAGAAAATATTTTAAAGTGTGTGTGTGTGTGTGTGTGTGTGTGTGTGTGTGTGTGCGTTTGTATGTATGAATTTGCACATGTGTATGTAGTTAGTATCTGTAAAATCCCAAAGGGAGAGTCAGATCCCCTGGACCTGGAGCTATATGTGCTTTTGAGCCACCTAACTTGAATGTTTGGAACCGATTTCCAGTCGGTAACACACTCTGTACCACTGAGCCACCTATCCAGTTTCCTGTTCTCTCCATTTCTGTTCATCAAGAAATTTAATGAAGCCTAAAGGCTGACCAAGTCTAATCCCATCTGCTGTTAATTTCTAAATATCTGCTTGATATTTAATGTCTAAATGTCTGTAGCCCATATCTGGTGATTAAGTGATCTATGACTAATGACATCACACTAAGTCATTTAGTAATATATATGCTATATTTTGACAGCTATGTTCTTTGTTTTATATTTTATTTATTTCTTAAGACTCTATGAACCAAGAACTATATTCCTATTACATAGAAGAAAGAAACACACATTCACTTAAGTTTAAAAAAATATACTATCTTAGTACTTTGGGAAGTAGAGACAGGAGGATCAAAAGGTCAAAATCATCCTCAGCTCTATAGGGATTCAAAATCCACTAGGGCAATAGCTCTTGTCACAAAAAAATCACTATTATGAACACATGCAATAGATTAAGCTGTTTTTCCCAGCGTGGTATCCACAATGGTAGTTTTCTGTCTCACCTGGTATGAATTTGTTCTTAAGCGAGTGCTTATGAGGAGAGGAACTATTTAACCCTCCAACTATCTAACAGTCTATCTGTCCCTCTGTTTTCCTATACTCTGCTTTCAATTTGTGTTCAGTTGGGAGTTAGATGAGGAAATTCATTATCTTCAGTCTGGGACTCTGATTTTCTTACCTGTCATCTTCCACCCTGCTACCAAGTCTTGGAAGCTTACACTAAATTTCTCCTTCCCACTCCTTCTCTCTTCTCTTCTCTTCTCTTCTCTTCTCTTCTCTTCTCTTCTCTTCTCTTCTCTTCTCTTCTCTTCTCTTCTCTTCTCT